ATTTAATCACACGGTACTTTTTCTACATATGGCTTTAGTCAGCAACTGTATTGTTCCTCTCCATCTAAATTTTAATTCCGTTTTAATGATCTGTTAGACTCAGAGCCCCGGTTAGGTCGGGCATAGATTCTGAGACGATTAGAGTTCGCAAGTCAGGGCTGTATTAATTTGGTGTGTAAACTTTTAAATATAATAATAAAATAAACCTAAAATATTAGGTTTACTTAGTGGCTCTTTTTAAAGTCAAACGAGATTGGCCTCAGATCATTTGCAAGGCGTACATTACACGCTGATGCAAGCTTCAATCAATTCCATCAATCATGATTGATAAAAAACGGAAGGTGACTGATAGGCGTACATTACGCGCTCATGCAGGCGTCAATCATTGCATTAAACGGTAGGTTATTCGTCAATCACAATCGTGATTATTCTAAAACTGACAGCCTGCATGAGCGTGTAATGTACGCCAAAAGTTAGAAATGTCAAAAAACACCTTAATTAGATTTTAAGGTCGCAGACTAAATTATAACATTTATTTGCTATGTTTTCACAGTAACCGTGACTAATTTTGTGCAAGGCTTATTCGTTAATAATGGCGTACTACTACGCGTTTAGTTTCGTTTCGCGATTTAATTAATTCCTTAAATAATTCCTTTCCTAACATAAAACCAATTTGTACTTTGTAGCGCTAAACTGGTAATAATTAGCTATCTTGTATTTCATGGAACGTTTTAGAAAGCTGTTAAGTTCGTAAACACTTGATGCACAAACGCAAAATTATTAAGTACGCTATGCAGGAACCATGATAAATACAGATCATTGTAAAAACACCTACGTAAATATAATTTGACTATAATATAGTTTAAATGTGTATGTAGAGCCAAAGCCAAATCAAGGATACTTCTGCAGTGTATTGTTGAGGAAATTCTCCCGATACCATCCACACCATCTGGATGCTTGGTGGTCCACCACCGTACGTTTCTCTAGGAGTTTTCTTCCGCGTACGACCTCTCTGTGGAATAGTTTACCACTGGCGATTTTTCCGGACCGATACGACCTAGGGACCTTCAAGAAAATAGCTTACTCCTTTCTAAAAGGCCGGCAATGCACCTGCAATTCCCCTGGTGTGCGGTTGTTCATGGGCTACGGTAGTCACTTAACATCAGGTGAACCGTATGCTCGTTTGCCACCTCTTCTATAAAAAAAAAAGAAATTGATTTGAAAAAGCTACAAAAATATGGTGCTATTATGGAATGGAGTGTAATTACAAAGGCTTTCTCATCAACTACTACAAACGAAGATCCATGTCGCGTTTCGGATATTAAGGACCACAAGAGTTGGGAAAACACGTTCATTCCCTACACAAAATAACTTACGTGCCTCGGAAAGCAAGTAAATTTGCCATTGTTGCCCCGATCTCTCTCCGGTCATGCTAGATTGTTGTCCCATAGGACTATGAGAGTGTGGTAATAGAAAGTGCATTTGTTGTGGTAATAGAAAGTGCAGTTCTTGAACACACACACTTGTGCATTATAGTCCTGTTATACGTAGACTTACTGAAATTCTATCTGAAGGACATTTTTTATAAAATAAGGGTGAAAAACGAGCACACAGTCCAGCTAATGGTAAGTGATTATTGTGGTCCATAGACACCTACATTTCTCTCTTGAGGACTAAGATGTAATGCCTCGTTTTCATTTAAAAATGGTTTCCGTATACACTCACCATACGAAACACAGCAGTATTAAGCTGCTATTTTACGTTGGTATTATGTGAAGGCGTGTCACTTCCCCGGTTGAGCCGACCCATTCGTACTACAACCATAATATAGCTACAGTGTAGTTCTATGGTAAGAAATATTACTGTGGTTTGTAAAGTAAATAAACCCTTAAATACGAAATTACTATCCCTTAAACCCTTAGGGATGACAACGCATCATATTTTTTTCTTTTTTCTAAATCAGGGTAGATGGCCAAAGCTTCTAACTACCTTCAGGTGGTCTGTGTATTTATTGTCACTCTAACCTATATAAAAGTGTAAAAAGACCAATGATTTGATGTGTCTGTAGGACCGAATATTAAAGAAAATAATAATTCTTATTTATTGGTATGCTCTTAATTTTATTTACTTCAAAGAAACTGTTGATTCGATGAACTCGCTTCGGTTTTTTGATGTGGCCGACATTGTAAATGTTACGAGCTGGAGACGTATGACGAAACAGATTTTATAGCTTTTATCCGTCTTAAAAATGAACGGACTGTGTGTTTATGTGTCCGTGGTCCAAGTCACGCGATGATGATACTGTTGGTTATCAGTTTCAAAGTACGAAGTGTAATTAATTTTATTAGGAATGATTTAAAAGAAAAAATAGACAAGAACAGTTATTATAAATAAACGTCGTTATTATAATCATTACAGCCGTTCATAAGTACACCGCTGAACAAATGCCTTCCCCGGGGAACACCATAACCCTTTAAGGGGCAGAAGCTCCTGGCTGGGGAATGAAAAAATAACACTTGTATATGAAAAATGTATTTTTTTATTAATTTTAAGATTTTTAAAAAAAACGTAGTGTCGACATATTCGACACTGCAGCACCTCACCACCCTTCAGGGTGTATGGAACTGAGCAAAGCATGGTACAATGCACAATGGAACTTGGCATTTTGTGCACTGTATTTTGGATGTTTTGTTAACCTTCAAGCGGGCGCGCGGTCATTTGTAACGGGAGCGGGCGCGCGTAACCGAAAAGACCTATGGGATGAATAAGAGAAATAAAGCACTAATTATTCAATATTTATTTATTTATTTGTACTCAGATATATTATCATTGCCTTTAAGGTCTGATTTGTCAAAAAAGTAATGTAATTAAAATTATGAAAAAGAAACAATTATTAAATTAATTAACATAACTCAAATATGCTTTGAATGAAAACAAAAATTAGGAACACAAAACCCTTTTACATATCTCAGACTGGTTTATATATGACATACTAGTCTAATAATAAAAATTACAAAATAAAAATAAAAATTAATTAACTTTGGCTTAGTTTTCATCGCAATTGTATGACTTCTGCAAATATTTTTCATACATAATTTACATTGCGTTTTTGATTGCCTCCTTTTTTGGCTGGACATATTTTACAGGTTCCTCTGCATGTGCCAGAACTACCTGCTTCTGTATCAGAAGCACTATCCTCCATATTCAAATGCTCCATTATGTTTCTTTTTAGTTTTCTTAGAAGGCCTAACATCGTTGATCTTCTTTGGACGTACTCTTTTGTCAATTCAGTGCCTAATGCCCGTAAATACATTCGCCTTTTCCGTAGTCAGATTATTTGCCCTCAATATCACCATACTATTTATTCCTGCAATATCCAGAAGACGAAAGAAGAGTGTCAATGGCCATCTATTATTCTTCCTTGAAACCGAATACATTTTTGCTTTTTTATCGACTTCATCTACACCCCCCTTTGTTTTATTGTAAAAAGTAACGATGCTGGGTTTGCGCTTTTCATTTGTACTTTCATCAATTTCTGCAGCACAATGAAGTGATGATATAAGAACTACAGATCTTTTCTTTTTAGGCACGTAAGATACGAGCATGTAAAGCAAGGAGGTATTTCTTTGTTGTTTATGCGCATGGTACCCACAACAGAAATCTTATAATCCTTGGCCAAATCGTTCATTAGCGGCACACTGGTATACCAATTGTCGATGGTAAGGTTTCTTCCAGTGCCAGAAATTGGTGTAATTAGCTTCTTCACGACGTTTGCCGCAGCATTACTCAACTGATATGGGCCTTCAGGCTGCTTGCCAGCATAAAGTTCAATATTTAGGACGTAAAACGTAGCAGCATCTACTAGTGGATAAAGTTTGATTCCGTATTTGTCGGGTTTTGATTTCATGTACTGTCGGAAAGGACATTTTCCTCGAAAACAACCATCATCTCATCGATTACGACGTTCTCTCCCACTGAATATGGGAAAAGACAGTTTTGTGTAAACATATCTAAAACTCTTATTGGCGCAGCTTTGTCTAGAGTACGACGAGCATGTCGCGTAGTAGCATCATCAAACCGCAATGAATTCAGTAGAAATTTTACTCTTTTTACTGATTTAGTAGTAGGAAAAATAGGAATACCTGTCCCATCACTTGCATAAAAATCTTCTAAATTGGCGTGTGATGTCTTCAAGGATCCCGCTTCGTACAACAATCTGAAAAGTGCTCGAATTTCCACCGATTCCATCCATCCATCCATCTGTCGGTTTGCAGTCACGTATTCTGTTATACGATGGCGCTTTTTTTTTGAATAAATTCGTTGGTATATCTAGCAACTTTTTCAATAATATTCTCTGAAATAAATAAACTCCAGGCTTGCGTAAATGTTGTCACCCCCACACCATTCCTACGAGTACCCGCATCTTCCGTGAGAATATTTTGAACTTGACGCCTCACTCTGTTATTGTTAGATTTTTACCACTTCGTTACTTTATTGCGTCCTGTAAAACAGCTACTTATTTGTGAAAGTGGCAAATCATACTCTTCTGAGTCCGAGCAGTTTGATTTCTCAGCATATCGAGGTTCCTCCGCAACGATGTGGTCGGAAGTTTCAGATCCTTGGTCGCTGAGCTCTGATTCACTCTCTTCTTCGTCTTCTCTTAGTAATTCCTCGAGTATTGCACACTGTGGTAACCGTCTAAGCCTCATTTTATATAAAAAATCCAAGCTTAATTCAATAATATTGAATGATGGCCGAAGAACTACCACGAGCATGAACGAGGGTATGTCGCATTGAGCGTCGCGCGTACCTTTTCGACGACAGGCGCGTGTAGTCTTTTCGACGACTGCACCGGGACTAAAACAATTGCGATCTGTGGAGTGGGGGAGCGCCCCGAGCGACGGTTTATTATTTATTTTACTCCCAATGACATAGCGACAAGCTACTAGAAATGAGAAATAAATGTGATGGGTAGTAATAATAATATGAACGAAAATGTACTAAGCGCGGTCGATTCGGCTACGCGCGCCCGCTTGAAGGTTAAGGTTTTTGCTGCTGCATGCTCTGCACCTTCTGTATTTGGGTAGCTCCATTGGCATGTGAGACCCCACATCATTCAACCTCAGTTCATCAGGTATTCCATGAATGGGTTTCTGTCTACTTGTTGGCCCTTTTGGTTTTTTAGTTACAAAGTTGGGCGATTGTGCCACAGTCCTTTTCCTGGAGCTGAAGTCGTCTATCAGGTTACGTGCGAGCACGGTGCGGAAATTCAAGGAGGTCATAGGGTTGTGCACTTTGTCATTTTGGTTGTATATTATACAGGCATTTGTAATGGCAGAATCAACCAAAAAGTAAAATATTCGCATCCACCATCCTTTACTACGTCTTGAGATGGAGTATGTACCTCTCTTCTGGTCAAATCTATGAACTCCTCCCATTCTTTTGGTATACTCCAGGATTCCTATGGGACAAGAAAAGTCAGACTTTGAACCATCTTTCTGCGTTCTTCTACATGTTGTTTTCTGACGGGGATGATAAGCAGTACTCAATACATATACTAATTTAATATCTTTCCATACAAAAATACGACGTTCTGGTTGAATTGCCATTTGTACTCTCCTTTGCCAGTACCAGAGGAGGCGGTTTGGGTTCATATTTCTTTCATTGGTTTTTTATAAGTTTGGGCAAGTTTGTACGATCTGCGCGTACAGTTACAGTTGCATAAATATTATTACGAGTATCAAATAGGTACTGCAATAGCTCATGGGACGCAAAAAATTATCAAAGGCGACGTGAGTATTCTCAACCTTTTCATCAATCAGAGTTTTAGATAGTTCTCTTACCACACTGACTCCTAATCCAACCTCTGTAGTGGCGTCATATTTTTTCCAGTATAAATTTCGAACTGATACAAATATCCAGTCAGACTGTCACAGCGAGACCACACTTTAAAGCCCCGTTTTATTGGTTTTTTTGGCATATACTGCTTCAGAGTGCTACGCCCTTTGAATTTAATCATGCACTCATCTATGCTTTGCGATGATGAGCACACTCCACCACTTTGGAAAGCAGTATTCAAAATTTTGATCATAGGTCTTATTTTGTAAAGTTTATCATACCCTTCTTCACCTCTCTTGGGCACTTGACTGTTGTCGTTTAGGTGTAAATTTGCCAAAACCTTTTTAAATCTCTTTACTGTCATAACATTAGCAATCTCTGCAACACGGAACATAGGATCGGAAGACCAGTTGAGAGATATATTTGGAAGTACGTGAATGCCCATAAGTATCAAAATACCAAAAAAAACGCTTTTAGTTCCTCAATGTTACAATATCCCCATCTTTCTGTCGGTTTTGGGCTGCGTATAAATTTGTCTGATCAACTATGTTCAATAGGACTTCATCATTGAAAGAAATATTGAAATATGTCCAAGGAGAACTTCGATTAGGAAAAAACTGTGATGGTCGCAGTAAAATGTCATCAAATTTCTCAGTAGGCGGAATGTGTGGAAACTGCACTTTTTTCCACTCTTCATCGCCATCATCTTCCGAGTTATCTTCTGAACTGTCTTCCGAGTTATCCGTGTCATCAGCTTGTGTAACCACAGGTGCAACAGGTCTTGTGATTGAAGACATTCTAGAATTAGAGGGAGTAGGTTGAGTACTACCTATTATACTATCATGTGTGGCAAATTTATTCATATTAGAAGATGACGGAAGAATCTAAACTGTTGATGTTGTTGACTGTGATTCATTCAGACCAGATCCACCTAAAATATCCTCAAGTACTGGTAAATGATGAGAAAACTGCTTAATTCTCGTCTTCATCACTCTCATTGCCGTCTTCGGAGTTTTCGCCGTCTGACAGAGCAAATAAGTCTGCGAGAGCATCTTCCAACTTCTCTAATGGGATCACCTATAATAAGGAAATATTAAATTATACTACCTCATATTTAATTGTAAGAATTCTATACAATTACGATATAAATCCTAGCCCAGCCCTGGGCGGGCAGTGTCGAATATATCGACGTCATAATTTTTCGTTGAATATGTATGTAAAAACGTAATAATTTCTGAAATACTGAGTTAGCTGCAATATTTATAATATTTAGAATAAATCATTAAAAAAAATATACCTTTTTCCTCATTTTTCGCAAAGTTGTTCTTGGATGAAATTTGCACTTCAGAAAACAGCCAAATAATGACATAAGATGTCATCAGCTGTCAATGTCAGCCATACTTTTTTTCTGATGACCTGTCCGAATTGAATACAGACTATCGCAGTACCAAACTCCTAGCAGTTTAAAAATAAATCAATAAAAAGTATGGTGTCGAATATATCTACAGAGCCCATAAAGGGATAACAACCAATTTTGAGTCACCTGCGTCCATGCACTTCCTATATGTTGTCGTTAATTCATCTATTGGGGGGGGGCTGCCCTACACTTCGTTTAGCGGTACGAGTAAAATAAACCTTATTCTTTAATTTTTAAACGTTTATAAACAGTTTTCTAGTTTAAGATATCGTAATATCAGTAATATGATCCGTGAGAATGATGCAGTTAGATAAGATCGGCGAAAAATCTTCGTATTTTATATACAATTTTAAGACATTTTTTCAGTCTTAATTACATTTAATTATAATATATATATATATATACGCTATGTTTTCGGTAACTTGTTGCTATCTTGTAGGTAGTGACATAATTCCGTTAGAATATTCTATCAAAAATGCGACAAGTAGTTTTGACAGTGCTCTATTGATGTTAACCTAACACTACCCAAAGAATGCTGAGGAGAATGAAACAGGTAAAAATCTAGGGGTGCAAGGTCAGGACTATATGGTGGATGCATTAATACTTCCCAACCAAGCTCACACAATTTTTGCTGAGTGCCCGAATATGTGTGTGGTCTGATGTTATCTTGATGAAAGATCACTGCTTTTCTGTTGGCCATTTTTTCTCAATTTTTTACTTGAGTTTCATTAGTTGTTGGATTCTATTCTATGATTTTGCCTGGCGGTAAGAGCTTAGAATAAACGATACCCTGCCAATCCCACCATACACACAGCATTAACTTATTGCGTGTTTATCCGGGTTTTGCTACAATCTGTGGAGCTTGATGATGAAACTGAAAAAATGAACCCTTTGACCATGATCTTTTTCTCAAGTTCTGATTAATGTTTTCAAAAATGGTTCGGTTTCATTACGTTTTAATAGAGAATCGCAAAGAGTACACGATTCATCAAATGGGTAAAAACTGTTTTGTGATCAATCAATCAATTCCTCGACTACGTCGTAACTACTAATATGCCGATCAAATGTTATCGACCATATCCGTATCAGGGTGACCAGAGCAAACCACGTCTTTTTCCATTTTTTGTAATAAAACCTCAGAATTTATCGAATTTTTTCGTTAGATTCACTCATTTTGGCGGACAGAAAAACAACTGAAAAATAGCGGAAAGTGTTCTATACTTTTTATTTTTCTTTTCCTTAATGTCCTATACGAATTGATACTAAAACTAGCTAGATATAAGCAGTACAATAAAAAAATAAATACCAAGAATACATTTTCCCCGACCTATAAGTAAATGTTGTTGCATATGGACTCCTTAGTGCAATACAGCTAATTAGGTAAATTGGACAATCGCTTATGATCTAAACTAGAAGCAAACCTGCTAACAACTACTCTGTCATCACATAGATCAGGTTGTCGGTATGCGGGTCGTTGCACTGTCGCACGCGTTTGGCAATACGCGACATTTTACTTTAACGGTAGGTGGTTCGGATTTACGCATTTTAATTGGAGAAGACCTAGAATCTAGATTATAGTCACTTCATATTACACAACTCATATATATTAGTCCTTGCGACAATTTCAGTAAAGGTTCATAGTTTTCTTTTTCACTTGAAAACAACTTACAAGTATGGTTTAAAGAGATACTCGTATTAGTCTTGTTTAAATGTATTTATACTATTGATCACCAAATGGCTAAGTGGTTAGAGTACCTGACTGCTTAGTCAAGTACTAGGTTCGAATCTGAAAAAGTAATATTTGTTTAATTATTTTCGCTTTTGACTGTTCATATATTCCTTTTTTATAGAATAAGTTTGACAAACGAGCACACATTCCACCTAATGGTAAGTGGATTCTGCGGCCCATAGACATTTACAATTATCCTTGATTAGATCAAAACGCAGATTCGTTGTCATCCCTGAGGACCAAGATGGAATACCTCGTTTCCAGTAAAAAAGGGTCTCCGGATCTCTACACTCAACATACGAAACACAGCAGTATAAAGCTACTATTTTACGCTGGTATTCTGTGAGAGCGTGGTCCTTCCCCGGTCGAGCCGACCCATTCGTTCTACAACCATAATGTAGCTGCAGTGGCTCTACCACGTATAAAATGCCTTGTTTCCAGTAAAAAAGGATATCCGGATCTTTACAATCACCATACGAAACACAGAAGTATTAAGCTCTGTATTTTACGCTGGTATTCTATGAGAGCGTGGTCCTTCCCCGGTCGAGCCGACCCATTCGTTCTACAACCATAATGTAGCTGCAGTGGCTCTACCACGTATAAAATGCCTTGTTTCCAGTAAAAAAGGATATCCGGATCTTTACAATCACCATACGAAACACAGAAGTATTAAGCTCTGTATTTTACGCTGGTATTCTATGAGAGCGTGGTCCTTCCCCGGTCGAGCCGACCCATTCGTTCTACAACCATAATGTAGCTGCAGTGGCTCTACCACGTATAAAATGCCTTGTTTCCAGTAAAAAAGGATATCCGGATCTTTACAATCACCATACGAAACACAGAAGTATTAAGCTCTGTATTTTACGCTGGTATTCTATGAGAGCGTGGTCCTTCCCCGGTTGAGCCGACCCATTCGTACTACAACCATAATAAATCTGCAGGGTGGCTCTAACATGTATGCAAATTATTTAGTTATTATATTGTTATTGTCCACTATAATTTAACATTTTGATAATTCATCGAAATTTACTTTATTGCTATATAATTAAGCATAAGTAATGCTATATACTCTACATACTAGTTTCAGGAGTATTGCTGGAACTAGTCCTGAGGATAGTTCACGGCAGTACTTGAAAGCCGGTTCCAAACCCAGCACTTCCTACTTTCGCTGACCGTGTCTTTTTAAGGTTATTATTTCTTATTATAAGGTGTATCAGTACATTATTGTACCACGTTTATCATTATATTGTTCCTAAGCCAACCTTAGTAGTTGAGACCGAAATTAGTCAAGAATATCTCATCACCATACATTTTATAATTAAAATACCTTTATTATAATTATCATAAGCTAATCGTTAAGAAGGGTAAACTACATATTTTGTGGTATTCTCTACCAGTCAAACCTGGAAGAAATGCAAAAAAAGCAGATGTTAGCTTAGGTCTAAATATGACTTCATCATCACCGTATCATTATAACCCTTTACAAGTTCACTGTTTAATGTAGGCCTTCCTCAAGGAATGCCGCAAATTACGGATCTGAGCCATTTGTATCCATTGATTTGCAGCATATCTTACCAGGTCGTCACTCCATCCTGTGAGGGCCCGTCATATAATTCGCCTAAATGTGACTCGTTACCGTTACAGCCTATTAAAGCCCACTGCTGGTAATAGGCTTCCCCCACAGATTGCCTCATAGGGGGGCTATTTGTCATAGTTGCTTGGCAAGAAGTTGGCAACCGCAGTTTTTTATATTTTAGTTGTTATCAGGAACACGCTGCTGCCCATCTCCTGACCTGTTTCCCTCTGTCGCCTCTTACGACACCCACGGGATGATATGGGGTAGTGGATATTCTCACACCGCCACTACACGGGACACGTCTTATATATTTACCATTAAATTCTTCATTAATAATTCTGTCTCTGTAGAAATTAACACATTCCATTCCGTTTACACATACGTGTAAAATATGTGTGGTGTGAATATAGTATCGGGCGTATATTACTAGCTTACTGCCTCGTTGGTTTAGTGATTGTATTAGTGCGACTGCTGATCATGAGGTCCTGGGTTCGAACCCTTGGTCGGGCCAAAAAACCAATTATTGAGTTTTCCCGTTGAGAAATACTCAGTAGCTGTCCGGAGTCAGACAGTTGGTAGTGTCTCACCCCCGTGCCTCGGAAAGCACGTAAAGCCGTTGGTCCTGCGCCTGATCTCTCTCCGGTCGTGTCGGTTTACCGTACCATCGGATTATGAGAGTGAGGGAATAGAGAGTGCACCGATGGCTAATGTCCGTTGTGGCTGGCCTCCGTGACCGATATTCGGTCTGGAGGACATTATTATATTACACTGCTATACCACGAGGTCATGAGATCTTGCCGATATTCTTACAGTAACTTTTATAACCGCTATGGATTTGGATAGGTGGATGTTTATTATAGTATTACCTTATCTATATCTGATAATATAGGTTATACTCTGTCGCCTCTTACGACACCCACGGGATGATATGGGATAGTGGATATTCTCACACCGCCACTTCATGGTAAAAATATGACTCGATGATTTAGATATTTATTTATTTATTTATTGCATTTACATGTGGTTTTGTGTGATAAATTACAGCACATGCCCCCAGCAAGGGTATAACGGTATG